AAATCAAAAAACAAACACATCAAACGAATGGATAACAACTGTCATATTTCTGACTTGGTACAGGCATTTTCTTATGTAGAAAATGGTGGATTGAACCTGGTTTTATAGCTAGCTAAACCTCTCACTTGTATGACAGTCGCATCAACTTCTCTATGTCTCTTAAAGTTACATAACCAATGATTACTATAGATAGGATAATAAAAGATTGATCCTTATAAACCTACCCATAAGCTATTTACATCACATAAACATTATCTTTTTTTGCTTACCAGTATGACCTCTAACCCTTAATATAAATATGTCTATAATAGTAGTTTAATACTTACAAACTTATTTTGAACAGAAAAAGAACTAATACAAGGAAAGATGAACCCTTAAATCAGAAATGACAATACCTATAGACCAATCTCTGTATTGAAAGCAAATGCTTTTGATTATGACCCCATGATTAAGATAAAAAATACATATAGGAATTATTAAGTCTGTCTGTCCAAAGATGTTCTATTCTTCTTTGTCTCAGTCCATCTGTCATTCCATGCACATTGTGTTCAGATGTCTTGAAGGATATAAATGATATTTGACATTATTTTATCCAATAATTAGAAGGTTACTATGTCACAAGAAAGGTTGGGATATCTGTCTGTAAGGCCAAGATAATATTAACATACCTTTCATCTGCAGTTACCCTGTGAGGTGGCTGACTGATAATTTTTGTCTCGCCTTGACAGAGTCAAAAAGCAAGACACAGGTATGCTGTTTTCGGCGGCTGCGGCGGCGTCAACAATGTATTAGTTTGTGTGATTAGGTCAAGTTTATGGTGTACCACTAGTGATAGGTCAATGATATTTGGTATGCAGTTGTATAAGCATTGGCATATCTCATTTCCATGGAGATTGTTAGGCTCCGCCCCTCAGTCATTGTCTATTGACTTTGAAACTTTTGCTTAGTTTACATGTATAAGTTTGTGATTAGGTCAGTTCAAGGGGAACCATTAGTGGTAGGCCAATGTTAATAAGTATGCAGTTGTATAAGCATTAGCACATCTCATTTCCATGGAGAATATTTGGCACCGCCCCCTCAGTCATGGTCTATTGACTTTGAACTTTTTGCTTAGTTTACATGTATTAGTTTGTGATTAGATCAGTTTAAGATGAACCACTAATGTTAAGTCAATGATATTTGGTATGCAAATTAATTGGCATTTGCAAGTCTCGTTTCCATGGAGATTATATAGCCCCACCCCCTCATCATGGTTCATTGACTGAAACTTTTGCAGTTTACAAGTTAATGTTTGTGTCTAGGTTTGTTTAAAGAGAACGACTTATGATAAGTCAATGGTATTTGGTATGCAGTTGTATTAGCATTGGCACATCTCGTTTCCATGGAGATAGCCATGTACCTTCAGTCATGGTTCATTGACTCTGAATATTTGCATAACATCTTACATGTTAAAGTCTTGCTATTTTAATTTCAACATTTGCATTATCAAAATTACAAAAAGGCAAGACATATCTCTGTGTTAACTTTTCTAAGACAAAAATGAAACAGCATTAACAAGTAAACAACACATTGGCTCATAACATGAATGTAAGGTGGAGATATCATAGTTGTTTTGTTTCCCCTAAACTGGTATACCGGTAAATTATCACATAACTGCATTATACAGTATCTAAAAGAAATAATTCAAAGAATGTCATAATAACCTTAGACCTACTACTTACTTCATGATAGACTTAACATGTGGACTCTTGTTAAAGATTATAGCTTGAATTCCAGATTTTTTTAGTTATTTTGTCCCCTCTTCTGTAAATAACCCTTAAAACCATGTGATTTTGTCTGTTGAGAACAAAGCCAGGTTCATTTTTATACGACCGCAAAAATTAAAATTTTTTTGGTCGTATATTGGTATCACGTTGTCGTCGTCAGCGTCGTCCAAAGACAGATGGTTTCTGGATAATAACTTTAGTATAAGTAAATAGAAATTAATAAAATTTTAACACAGGGTTTATAATCACTAAAGGAAGGTTGGGATTCAATTAGGGGCCAAAAAAGGGGCCCAAATAAGCATTTTGTAGTTTCCAGACAATAACTTGCGTTAAAGTGTATGAATCTCTCTGAAATTATACCACAAGTTTCCATACTTCAAAGGGATCGTATACAGCTGCGCTCAGCGAAGCAATTTATTACACTATATTTAAATATTGTCATCCTGAAATGGCAGTCATCCATCCTATTAGCATACCCATCTCCAAAGTTAAATTTGTCTGTAACACCATTCTGTTGCATTTTTTCAGCAACTTCTGACAAGTGAAAGCTTTTTTGAAATATGGTACATTGTACTATGTTTCATCTGGTAATACCATACTGTATGAGATGTTTTCAATCCCTTTGATGTTCTTCTTCCTATTTGCTGAACTCTGATATCTTTAAAATGTCATGCACATATATGAAATGTTTGCTACATTTCTATAGATATAGAAACTACAAGTCATAGCTTCTGGATATTTGACATCAAGCTTCAACTTGTCTTGCCATACAGTGTTACATGTTTTCAGTTTGTCTTTAATTTTCTACTTCCTGTTTGCCAAATACATATATCTGTATTGACCAGAAGTGGGTAAAATCTAACTATACATGTTGCTGAATTTATTTTGCTCATATTTGTTATGATATTACACATGATTTGTTATCAGATTATTTATAAGAGTTATGGCTTATTTAATTTTTGCTAATATAGCGTGTTATCTTTTTTATCTGGTGATGTAGTTTGTTCAAAATTGGTATAATGGCTTGTTTAACAAAAATGTTATAGATTTTTATTATGATAACATATACCATGAAGTTCTACAAGATTTTTCAAAGAATCATTAATTGACTTTTTATCTTGCTTAATGTGTCATACAGTTAGTTGACTTATGTCAGAGGATTTATCCTTTATTCATGTTATTCAGTATATGTTTAAGTTACATACTCTCTTATTTATTGCTGTGCTTCAACACAAAGTTACTGTGAGGCTTTCAACAAATTTAGCAAAAGCTAACGTCTGACTGCAAGTTAAAGTTGATCCCTATAGCAAAGATTTGAATGTAATCCTATATGTTGAACACCCTCTATATATATGCATTTAAGGCCACATATGTGGGGTAATACATTTGTAGCAACAAATTACAGACTATATAACAAGCATATTAGATCTTTCTAATCTTCAGCCAACCTTCATATTATGTAATAATTTCTTATTTCAGTCAATGTTCAGCAAATTGTACAAACTACAAGTTTATTAAAATGATAAAGTAGATTCTTTTAACTCTAATTAGTTGAAGGCAACATATTTTTAATTACATTGAAGGCCACATATTTTTGATTACATTGAAGGCCACATATGTTGGGTAATAGCAACAAATTATAGAGTATGATAGACACATATTAGATCTTTATAATCTTCAGTCAACCTTCATATCATGTATTTCAGTCAATGATCAGTAAATCGTACAAACTACAAGTTTATTAGAATATGTAATTTCTTTTCTTTTAATTTCAATGAAGGCCATACTGATAAATTTTTCTTACTTTGTAACTTGACATCTTGATTTGATTTTCTCTCGATTTTTTTCTGCAAGTTGTGAGAATTTAATTGTAATTGATCTCTTGACCTATTTGGTTTTTCTTTTGCTCTGTTTAGATTTATACCATCTAAGTGAATTATTTGCACTATTCAGAATAAAAAAGATTTAATAATGATAATCCAGTCTTTTATTAATTCAATGTTTTAATGTTCATATATACTGGAAATGAATTTTATGTAGGAATATGTGTATATAATGTACAGTAAAACTTGCTATAAAGGTCACCTCTAGTAAGCGAAAACCTGTCTAGTCAAGGTACCTTCTTCTTCTCCCACTGTAGTAATAACTAAAATTTCAAAGGTCACTACTCTAAGATCAGTTTTCTCTGGTCCCAAGGGTGACCTCAGGTTTGACTGTAGCTATCAAGAAATTTACTTTGTGACTGAACTTCAGTTTTGTATAGCATCAAAACATTGTCACCAATAAATAGTGTATGATTGTACAGAGGAGATTATAGAACTACAGTGATATAAGACCTAATAACTCCCAATCAAATATTTATCTTTAATATAGCATTCATTACCAGTCAGATAACATAGTAATGGGTGTTTATTTACTTCAGATAACTAATATCATTACAAACGTGTTCCATAGATTGGCCTATTTGAGCATTTAAGTGTTTTGTCAAGGATTGTGTGATTTCGGATCAATTCCTCCAATAGATCTTGCTAAGAGTTTCCTTCTTGTACATTATTTATAGTCAACAGTGGGTTTCAGATGGAGTTAAGATTAGCAATCACAAAATGTCTGCTGCAAACTGTCGTCAGCATTAATTTTGTAATTGTCTTTAAGATCTGTCCTGTTACTATGGATGTCTGAAGGGTTTGTCATCAAAGAATTATGTGTATTCTGGTTGAAAGTGTAGTGATGAACTTAGATAAAGTTAAATGAAGATCCTTTTTTTCTTGTAATGTAAAATGGCATTTGGTATCTGTCATCGTTGTCATTAAAATTTAACAAAAGTAATGTTTTAGGGAAATAAGATCTAAAGAAAATAAGTACCAAAGTTGAATTTAAAGAGAGAAAAACAGCAAAAACATAGGAAATAAAATGTGTACAATGTATTTTCAAATCTACTGTCAGTTTGAAAATTACACCATTATTATCATTTTTTAGGTCTCAACTATAGTTTCATTTTTATATTTATTTTATCTTTCATCTGTTCATAAATCTCATCTTCATTTCTCTTTTGTCTTTCATTTTTCTTCACCATGTTTGCTCCCCTTCTAGTTGAATGCTAGTTTTTGTCACGAATTTGGTCCATTTGGATTTTCCAGCATGTCTTTGAAACCTAGTTAGTTTCTTAGTTATCCATTTATCAGTACTATCATTAAAATTTATCAGTACTATCATTATTATTCTTGCCTTTTTCAGTCCCCATGATAGAACCTGTGAAGATTTGGAGATCATCTATGAAGAACTACTGCACATCAAAGCACTATCACATTTATCTACAATGGTCAAGAAAGAACTAGCCAGTGTTCTCATCTTTGAATCTCATGAAAAAGCTGGCACTGTGTGTAAGTTTGATAGTAAGAAGGTGTTTTACACAACATCCACCAGAGTCCAAATGATGTACATATAAACAACTTTAGGTCTCTGTATGGCTTTCAACAATAAGCAAAAATCCCATAGAATAGTCCGCTATAAAAGGCCCCTACATGATAAATTTGGGAAGAAATTCAAAAAGGAAAACCAACTGCTTTATTTATGAAAAAATAACAAATATGGCTGACAACAACCAAAAACAACCACTGAATGACAGGCTCAGGACTTGGGACAGGCATATACAGAATTTTGCGGGGTTAAACATGTTTTTGAGTACTCAATTCTTCCCCTAACCAGGGACAGTGGTGAGTATATCAAAAAAGTATCTATAAAGTTTTTTCCCAAATAAAGGTTTGAAATCAAATCATAAAAGTAACTTCAAATAATGGAACAGATACATGACTAAACATTGTAAACCACAAGTTTTTCATTCAAAACTCATTTATTTGTTTTCTCACTCAACTTTATAATATGACTTATATTACTGTTTTGGTTTTCTTTTGTATACCTGTTTTAGTAATATAGAAATCTAGTAACCATAAACTTTTGTTAAAATGTTACAATGATGATCATAAAAGTAATATTTGATACAATTCTAATCTTTTGTAATATTTATTAATACCATAATTTAAAAGTAGAATGAATTTAACTATTATTATTCATTTTTCTGGAGTTATTAAAACTTAGATAGCTTCTTTTAAGGTTTTTTTTAATTAAATTTATATAGGCACACTAGAACTCAAAATATGATGTCTTAGTTTAGATTGTATATATTGTATATACTTTACTTTATTGAATATTTATTACCAGTTTATTTAATGCTAATTTAAGGATTCTTTGTACAAGGTGGTATTATTGAGAAAGTGTGATATACATTATTGGAATTGCTTTTAAAATTAAATTTGAAGATTGAAACCTGTACAATATAAGTGTGATATTTGAAAATGAATATTTGTTTTCTGCCTTTGATACAGTAAGGTATACTTTGTGACACAAAATTAAATTGGACCTCAGAATACATACAATTATCGTCAAAATTTAAAATTGCTTCTGTGAAATATATTTTAAATAATTGGTAAATTCTCTGTAGGTAACTTCTTTATTTAACATTTTAAAAAGATTATATGTGTGTTCAGGTTTTTTTCAATATGGAAGGAAGTTAACATGGAGAAAGATTAAAGAATAACATAGACTTATAGGTCATGCAGTCCAGGTTATTTGGGGTTGGCATGATGTAGGTTTCTTTTAATGAATTAATGTGGTGGTCTTCAACATGATATTCAAAAATTTTCTTTTCAATTAAGTCAATTAAGATAGGAGTCGAACACACCTGTGTGGGTTCCAACTTACGTCATTGTTAATGACTACTGATATAGTAGATGATTTACTTAGACCACTAGGCCATGGAGGCCCCCTCTTACATTAGACTTCTGATCTTTATGAATTAATGGATAGTTCTTACAATAGGCTATTGATATTTGGTATACAATTATGGATAAAAGGATAGTTCTTACAAAAGACTATTGATTATGATGTTTGGTATACAATTATGAATAAATTGATAGTTCTTACAATAGGCTATTGGTATTTGGTATACAATTATGGATAAAAGGATAGTTCTTACAAAAGACTATTGATTATGATATTTGGTATACAATTATGAATAAATGGATAGTTCTTACAATAGGCTATTGATATTTGGTATACAATTATGGATAAAAGGATAGTTCTTACAAAAGACTATTGATTATGATATTTGGTATACAATTATGAATAAATGGATAGTTCTTACAATAGGCTATTGGTATTTGGTATACAATTATGAATAAATGGATAGTTCTTACAATAGGCTATTGATATTTGGTATACAATTATGGTGAAAATGATAGTTCTTACAACAGGCTATTCAAGGAATGGGGCATATCTCTGTATTAATCATTTTTGAAAACATTTGTTTTTTTCAGAATTTCAGTCAAATTAAATAAAATTATTTTTATTTTTCCAGTATTTAATCAAGGAGATGAGGGAAAGTCATGGTATATTATACTTAAAGGATCAGTAAATGTTGTTATATATGGAAAGGTAAGGAACACATGTTGAGGGGAAGTCATGGTTTATTATACTTAAAGGATCAGTAAATGTTGTTATATATGGAAAAGTAAGGAACACATGTTGAGGGGAAGTCATGGTATATTATACTTAAAGGATCAGTAAATGATGTTATATATGGAAAAGTAAAGACCACATGATGATCTAAAAATATTTAACCAATGGTCAATGGCATGGATGGCCCAGAAACTTCAAAAAATATGTATACAACTTTTGTGTTCATTAGTTATTTTAGGACTAGTTAAGAGATTGTTCATTAGTCACATTCCAAAATTATTTGTTTCATGATAAATGTCCTATTGAAATTCAAGTGCCATAGATATGTGTGCAGGTTTCATAACATTACTGCCATCTAAATGACTTGATTATTTTGTCCTTGGATTGCTGTATCGTTGATGTTTACCCCACATCTACTTTTATTCATATATAATGGTGATCAAATTAAAGTCTTTTCTTTACCTTGAATGTTGTATTATAGCCTCATATATTGAGAACTCTAAGAACTTATACACAAGTTATGATGTTGGGAATAGTCAATGTGACATGTGGGGAATAGTCAATGTGACATGTGGGGAATAGTCAATGCGACATGTGGGAAATAGTCAATGTAACATGTGGGGAATAGTCAATGTGACATGTGGTCAAAGTCAATGGGACATGTGGGGAATAGTCAATGCAAATATGTGGGGAATAGTCAATGCGACATGTGGGATATAGTGCATGCAACATATGGGGTATAGCCAATGTGACATGTGGGGAATAGTCAATGCAACATGTTGGGAATAGTCAATGCGACATGTGGGGAATAGTCCATGCAGCATGTGGGGAATAGACAATGTGATGTGGGGAATAGTCAATGCAACATGTGGGGAATAGTCAATGCAACATATGGAGAATAGTCAATGTGACATGTGGGGATTAGTCAATGCAACACATGGGGAATAGTCAAAGGGACATGTGGAAAATAGTCAATGCAACATGTTGGGAATAGTCAATGCGACATGTGGGGAATAGTCCATGCAGCATGTGGGGAATAGACAATGTGATGTGGGGAATAGTCAATGCAACATGTGGGAAATAGTCAATGCAACATATGGAGAATAGTCAATGTGACATGTGGGGATTAGTCAATGCAACACATGGGGAATAGTCAAAGGGACATGTGGAAAATAGTCAATGCAATTTGTGGGGAACAGTCAATCCAACACAGTTGGAGAATAGTCATTGGGACATGTGGGGAATAGTCAATGCGATGTGTGAGGAACAGTCAATCCAACACAGTTGGGGAAAGTCAATGTGACATGTGGGGAATAGTCAATGGGACATAGTCGGAAGAGTCAATGCAATATGTGAAGAATAGTCAATGTGTTTTACTAGCTATATTTGATAATGTGTTTGTTTTTAATAAATATGTTATATTGGTAGACATTCAGTACTTTTATCTTTATCATGATCATAAAAACTTACTTATTTGTATTAATTTTTAGAATGTGTCTGTTAGACTCAGATAGATATATAGTCATATTAAGTCAATATTTGATATCTCATTAAGATAAAAGTTGTATGAAAGCAAGGATATTTAGATATATGTATAGTAATATCTTTTTATGAGGGATTTTTGGGAGGGGGATTAAACTACATATGTTTTACTATATTAAAGTTAATGGGATGCTTGATCACTGACATTTTCCCTAAGCTATGCTATCTTTTATTCATGTCTGATAATGATCAAGACAATCTATGACTGGAATTTCTGAATACCAAGGGAGATTTGACAGCTTATTATGATTGCATTAAAAAAAACAATGAAGAAATTGATATTAAAACCAGGATTTCACTGGTGCCCCTGGCCAAACAATCAACCAGAGAGGACCGATTGTCCAGACAAAACAAGTCATTAACATAAAAACCAGGTCAAGTAAACTTTGGGTTTTTTAAAACAGCCATTCTTGTATTGCAGGTATACATTTTCCTACACTTCTTTGACTTTGAAAAATAGAAATTTTGAACTTTGAAATAAAACTTTATATATTGTAAAATCTACTGCCTCCTTGATGCACAATATAAATGTGTGATTAGTTAATCAATGAAAACAAGAACATACAGATAACAGTTTTTGCTTATTTTACTCAGTTTTTAAAGCAGAGAAATAGGACTAAATGTGACAGTTAAGATTGGGTTTACAATGAATATAAATGCCTGTCACATAAAAGTCATATTTCTTTATACATTTTAAGTTGTGATAAAAAAGGGTATATTTTACATTTTCAGGGTGTGGTATGCACATTACATGAAGGAGATGATTTTGGGAAATTGGCATTACTGAATGATGCACCAAGGTATTTCTATATTTGTATTGATAAAAGACAGGTTATTCATGCCTTTTAATTTTCTCTTTAAGGGTAATCCGAAAGTGCTTTCATACCTTTTGATCAAGGCTTTTTCAATTATCAGTTATCGTGACTAATTTTTAGTTGTGTCTGCTAGCTTTTATTGCTATTGTTGGCTTTCATATGTACCTTTCTTTGGATAACAATTACTGTACTCAGTATGCATTGCATCTTGACATTGTTGAAATCAGTTCCATCATTGATTGTTACTTAAGTGAACCAGTTCTTAACTACATTTGGGTCAATTAGTCTGTTTGTTATGATGAATGGGTTAAGTAATTGGACTCACTCTAAGGACACAATTAATGTTTCTGTCTTTTAAAGTACACCTTTTATTTGAATATTTTAGTTTTGATTAAATTGATTGATATAACGGCGAATGCACTAAATATAGACTAGGTTTATATACATCTATTTGAAATATCACTTTTTTGAGAATTAAAAAAAAACTTTAAACGTTCTCCCTGAGAAATAAGTAAAATAAGTCTTTTTTTGTATTCCTGTATTTGTTTTCTGATTTGGTATAAAGATGATAAAAAATCAATGAAAATACACGTTTAACAAAAGTGGTCTAAGCATTTTTTTCACGGCTACATTCTTAAGCATAAGTAAGAAAGAAAACTGTTTTTATATGTATAATGAATATACATACACAAAAAAAGCACTGACAATGACATGGAAGGCATAAACAATGCATAAACTTGCTCATTGTTGAAGACCGTCCAGTGACTTATAGCTGTTAACTACTAAGTCATTTGGTCTCTGGTGGAGAGTTGTCTCATTAGCAATTATACCACATCTTCTTATTTTTATACTTATAAATACATTTCAAGCACTCTGCAAATTAAATTTACTAAAAAATAAATTGACATTCTTGTTTATCAATAATAATAACTTGATAGAATAGAATGCTTTAAAGTGTTGATTCTAATTGTGTTGACATTTGTCTCCTAATGATATTGATAATGATATTGTTACATATAGTGATGATTGTATATTATAACTGTAAATAATTAATTAGATATCTACCGGTATATGTATATTTATTCCCAAATGTATTATGAAGAGATATAAAAAAAAAAACAATTTGAAAGAAGATAAAATTTTCTGAGCGACTAGACAAAAGAAATTCCTTCTCAAGACCAGTATTTTTTGCAAATAACCCTCCAGAACTTGATATATCTGTTTAGTTACACTGAAATTTTACTTTGATTATTTATTTCACAATATAGCCATTAGCAGAAAATGGCCCCCTTTGATAAAACACACAAATGATCAAGCATCTATGTTAAAGGTAAAACAGGCATAAACCTTTTGGCAAATTAAGTTAAAAAAAGTTAAAAATAAAGATATATAATTATGCGATATATAATTATGCATATACCCAAATGTATTGTGAAGAGATATAAAAAAATAAGTTTAAAGAAGTTAAAGCTTCTGGAGTGACTAGACGAAGGAAATTCCTTCTCGAAATATGAAAGAAATTCATCTATTATTACTTTGCTTATTCAAAAGATGTTGTCCTTTCACAATACCAATTGCTAAATTTTACACAACTGCAGTTTGAATTCACCTCTTCAAACTGGTAAAAAGGTAAAGCATTTTAGATCAAGTAAAACAATTGTGCTTTTATTGTTGCACTATATTTTTTAGTTCAAAAAGAACAAAAATGTTTAAAAAATATGTGAACCTCTATTTCATATTATTTTGTTAAGCTTGATAATCATATTGATATTTATTAATAATGTTTTAAAAAGAACTTCTATTATTAATTCAGACATGCTAGGTTGTGTCATATAATTTTGACATTTTGAAAAAAAGCAATCAATATTTTAAGATTTAAACTTTTGAAATATTTGTTTTTTTTGGTAAAAATACTTTTAATCTGTTAACAAATCATTGATGATATCATTCCTTTGCTGAACCTTGTGAATAGATTAACACTTTATTATGCTATTTTTACACAGACCAATTTATGTTACTAGGCTGTGTATATCACTCATGATTTTGAAATAAGAATCATCATAAAAGTTTTAAAAAATCTTAAAATACTCATGTCATGAAAACTGCTTTTATAGTTAGTTTTCCATTGACTTAATTTGAGTCATTTCTTATGCTGTCATGTTAAGGGGCACAATATGCACAAATGATTTCTTATGCTGTCATGTTAAGGGGCACAATATGCACAAATGATTTCTTATGCTGTCATGTTAAGGGGCACAATATGCACAAATGATTTCTTATGCTGTCATGTTAAGGGGCACAATATGCACAAATGATTTCTTTGCTGTCATGTTAAGGGGCACAATATGCACAAATGATTTCTTATGCTGTCATGTTAAGGGGCACAATATGCACAAATGATTTCTTATGCTGTCATGTTAAGGGGCACAATATGCACAAATGATTTCTTTGCTGTCATGTTAAGGGGCACAATATGCACAAATGATTTCTTATGCTGTCATATGCATGTTAAGGGGCACAATATGCACAAATGATTTCTTATGCTGTCATGTTAAGGGGCACAATATGCACAAATGATTTCTTTGCTGTCATGTTAAGGGGCACAATATGCACAAATGATTTCTTATGCTGTCATGTTAAGGGGCACAATATGCACAAATGATTTCTTTGCTGTCATGTTAAGGGGCACAATATGCACAAATGATTTCTTATGCTGTCATGTTAAGGGGCACAATATGCACAAATGATTTCTTATGCTGTTATGTTAAGGAGCACAATGTGCACAAATGATTTCTTTGCTGTCATGTTAAGGGGCACAATATGCACAAATGATTTCTTATGCTGTCATGTTAAGGGGCACAATATGCACAAATGATTTCTTATGCTGTCATGTTAAGGGGCACAATATGCACAAATGATTTCTTTGCTGTCATGTTAAGGGGCACATTATGTACAAATGATTTCTTATGCTGTCATGTTAAGGAGCACAATATGCACAAATGATTTCTTTGCTGTCATGTTAAGGGGCACAATATGCACAAATGATTTCTTATGCTGTCATGTTAAGGGGCACAATATGCACAAATGATTTCTTATGCTGTCATGTTAAGTGGCACAATATGCACAAATGATTTCTTATGCTGTTATGTTAAGGGGCACAATATGCACAAATGCCGTCATAGATCTACCAAATTCAACTTGTTATACTGATTGCTAGACTTTAGAAAATAATTGTTGTTCTCTGAACAATTTTCATTTGTTTGAGCCTACTTTAATACTTCACTACCATCTAGCAGGGATCTTTTATCAGATTGGCTGGTATCACATGTGAAAATTGGTAAGTCAAATAATAAAATCAACCTGTTTCCCTTTAACATAGATGCAAAGGGAAATAACTCCAACTTAGAAGCAATCTATCTATACCACTTCATCAGAATACTGTTTTATTTTAGGGGACATTGAAACTGACGTGCTAGATTATGTTACTGTTATTACAATTGCTTGATTTATCCTTTTTATTTACAGAGCAGCTACCATAGTCCTGAGAGAAGACAACTGTCATTTTTTACGTGTAGATAAAGATGACTTCAACAGAATATTAAGGGTAAGTAATAATATCATAAAGATAAAATGAAAAGAACTATTAGGTATAAGCTAGACTATGAGGAGGGGGGCAAAACAAAATCAGTCATTCTCTTCTTGTAACAAATTGGTATATTGAACAGATATATCATGTTATGGAGGGGTATTTGCGAAAAGTACCAGTCAAGGGACGGTGAAATTTTCCCAAGCCGCTAGGCGAGGGAAATTTGGTCCCAAGACTGGTATTTTTCGCAAATACCCCTCCATAACATGATATATCTGTTTAATTACACCGAATAGATTTTGAACAGATATATCATGTTAAGGAGGGGTATTTGCGAAAAATACCAGTCAAGAGAATGTTAAATTTCGCGAGCCGTAAGGCGAGGGAAATTCATTCTCAAGACTGGTATTTTTCGCAAATACCCCTCAAGAACATGCTATATCTGTTTAATTACACCGAATGTTAACGTTCAAAAACACATTGATGATTGTGACGTTACAAGCGTCCAGTCGGATAGAGTATTTTTTGGCAAATACCATGGCAGAGAGGGTAAAAAAGGCATATCCTTTTTGCATATACCCTGGCGGCGTTAAAAAAATGATCGATATTCATTTGATAACAGTAAATTGGTGAAAAATTCACTGGCTATCAACAAATCAAAACCCAGGATTCTTACATAAGGTGTAATTATGATTGAAACTGTCTGTACATGTGAAGCCAGAAGAGAAATCCTATAGTACCGCGGGAATTACACATATACTTATAAATACGCGTTTGTGCGGTCTTTTTGTAACGTCATGGTATCTATATGTGTAAACGTCATTGTTATTCCATCGTTAAATCATTCATTATATAGACATTTTTTTTCCCCTCTTTATATGTATATTTCTGACAGATTTTCGGTTTAACTCAATCAATAGTGCTTAACCATGTTGTAGGGATAAAGTGAGAAAGGTTCCAAAAAATTTTTGGCGGGAACTGGCTCGCGAGGGTAATAAAGGAATATCCAAAATGGCAAATACCACGGCAGAGAGGGGAATTTGAGGCAAATTCACCGGCAGTGGTGAAAAACAGGCAAATTCGTTTGAAATGAGGAAAGAATGTTAGAATATGCGAAAAATACACTGGCTAACAACCAATCAAAATCCGGCATTCTTATATAAGGTGTAATTACATTGGAAATAAGTCATACCACAAACGAATGATGCCAATAAACCCAACTAACAGTGCTTCACTGGCTCAGTAAATGAAGGGATTATAGATCTATTTCAAGGGAGCAGCAGATATCCCAAAACTTATGCTGCTGTTTTCATCTTAAATGGGACCACAGTCAAATATTAAAGCTGAAAATGTTAAAACCATGATATTAGATAGTATATATTGCTAGCCTTCTTGTTCCATCTGATGTGATTACCTGATTTTCAAAAGCAATTTGAATTATTTGCTTTGAAATTTTATCTGGTTGACATTCATCCAAAAGGTTTGGTTTATAGTAGATTGTGTAATCTGGAGAGAACTGCTCCAAGAAATACAAGTTTTAATCATTGATATTTTTAGGATGTAGAAGCCAATACTGTAAGATTAAAAGAACATGGACAAGATGTACTGGTACTGGAGAAAATACCCACCAACACACCTAATCCTGATGGAACAATTCAGTCACACTTCAAGTAAGTCAGTCAAGAAAATACCCACCAACACACCTAATCCTGATGGAACAATTCAGTCACACTTCAAGTAAGTCAGTCAAGAAAATACCCACCAACACACCTAATCCTGATGGAACAATTCAGTCACACTTCAAGTAAGTCAGTCAAGAAAATACCCACCAACACACCTAATCCTGATGGAACAATTCAGTCACACTTCAAGTAAGTCAGTCAAGTAGTTTTTATTTCGTTACTTTCTATTTAAGTAAATAATAAGGATGGGAGGGGTAGAATCTAAAATGTTAGGTATATATTCATCATTGTATTAAGAAATATATCCTTAATTGTGAAAAATTCAAAAGTCATGATAAACTGAACAGGCATATTGTTTGATTATCTTTTAAAATTTGTTTTTATGTATATGTTGTATAGGTATTCTGTCATGGCTGGTACAGCAGAGAAGATGTTAGAATATTTACTGGAGACCAGACTGGCAGAAAATAAAAATGAAGATCCATCAGGTATGTGTTACAAGAGGGGGAAGATTGTTCGGAAAAGTAAAATGAAATATTTGTAATAGTTATTGCTGAAGATAATCTTATATTATAATGATCTCTACTGACAAAGTAAAGGTGATGAACCATAGCTTTCCTTAATAGTTTTCCATGCTTATTTATAACGGGAAGAACTAAAACCCAGATTTTTTGTAACAGACTTTGACATATAGTATTGATCAGATACTTTTGAAAAAATAATTCTGCTGTTATTGGTTTTATGGAATGATGCCATTTTGACAAAGAGATTTTCAAGAAATTCTTACACATTTGGGTTTTATTTAGCATAATTAATATTTGACAGGTTTATGACCTTTGACTTAGAAATTCTGTTCCAAAGAACAGACCAAAAAGTTATGCAGTAATGGTAGATGTATAATGATACTGCATTTTAGTCTTCATTGGATGCTGCAGTGTCCAGTAGTTAATATTTATTGATTAAGAACTGCTCACATATTGTTTTTTTTTTCACCACAAGTTCTGACAACACAAACTATTTATTTTTTTCAGATTTTTTCCTGGAAGATTTTCTGAGGACACATGTGATATTTATGCCGACAAACAAATTGTGTGCAGCATTGCTGTCACAGTATCCTTTCAAAGAACAAGTTCTAATCAGTGTTGTAATGGGATAATTATTGCATCCCATATAAACTACATATTCAAAGATGTTATAAAACAGGTCTTATCTGGTGCTATAGCTTCAGGAGATAGTTACACTTTTTTGTTTTTTAATATGATAAAATAAAATTTTTTTTCCAAAAGAAAACATGGACTATGCCAACTATTCTTTAACTCCTGTGATTAATTTCAATGAAATCTTCACAATCTTTCTTACATTGTGCCACTGTGCAATTTCTTTTTTGTTTTTATTCATCCAAATTTTTTTTAGGTTACACAACCATGAGCATTTTCACATCTTTTCAAATGAGGGAGCTAGTAATTAGTTTAGTAAACTGATATTGGTTGAAATATTATGCATGATATAATGTTGTAGTGAGAATGATGTTTTCATCTCTCATTGCCCTGTTGGAGCTATGTTTGTTATGCTATGGTAAAAGATCTTTAAGATCTCTACCAGACATTATTACCTTAACCAGTAAAAGTTACCATGCCAAATCCTATGTTAATTGTGATGAAGAGAGTGCCTCATATGCCCTTACACAAAGACGATCAGTCATACAGTTTGTACATGAGTGGTTTTCAATAGGACCATCTGTGTTCAAAGGAGAGAAGACCATCAAAGCATTTTTAGAGGTAGATACTGTCAAGTAGCATTCTGTTTTTGGAAAACTGTACATATAATTTAAATTTAGTTATCTTGGAATGTAATAAAAATGACTAGGAATGAAATATTAAAATTTTCAAGAGAGAAAAAAAAATCAAGAAATAATAATTATGAAAGAGTAAAACAGCATTTATTTTAACATTGTTCTTTTTTTGTCCCCAGCGTAACGCCTTGCGGGGGGACATGGAAATACCGAGCGTCTGGCCTTCCAGTCTTGTTAGCGCTCTCACGTGTACAATTCTTGCCAGATTCTCATAAAACTTGTATCATAGGTTTATATCAGCAATATCTTGGACGAGTTTGAAAATCAGTGCCGATCAAATATTTTTAAAAGAATTATGCCCTTGGACACATTAATTTTATGGAAAATTGCATCGTAAGCGCTCTCATGTGTACAATTCTTGCCAGAAATTTATGAAACATATATCATAGGTTTATATTAGCAATGTCTTGGACGAGTTCGAAAATCATTGCCAATCAATTATTTTTAAAAGAGTTATGCCCCTTGGAAACATTAATTTTATTGAAAATTGCATCGTTAGCGCTCACATTTGTACAATTCTTACCAGATTTTTATGAAACTTATATCATAGGTTTATATTATTATATTAGCATTGTCTTGGACAAGTTTGAAATCAGTGCCAATCAATTATTTTTAAAAGAGTTATGCCCTTGGTAACATTAATTTTATGGAAAATTGCATTGTTAGCGCTCTCATGTGTTCAATTCTTGCCAGATTTTTATGAAACTTATATCATAGGTTTATATCAGCAATGTCTTGGACGAGTTCAAAATCAGTGCTGATCAATTATTTTTAAAAGAGTTATGCCCCTTGGAAAAATAATTTATATGGAGAATTGCATTATTAGCCCTCTCATATTTGCAATTTTTGCCAGAATTTTATGAAACTTAAATCATAGGTTTATATAAGCAATGTCTTGAACAAATTTGAAAATCAGTGCCGATCAATAATTTTTAAAAGAGTTATGCCCCTTGGAAATATTAATTATATTGAAAATTGCCCTATGAGTGCTCTAATGTATACAATTCTTGCCAGATTTTTATGAAATTTACATTTTAGGTTTATATCATCAATGTACTTGAAGAGTTCAAAAATCAGTTCCGATCAATTATTTTTAAAAGAGTTATGCCCCTTGAAAATATTGATTTTTTATATTGAAAATTGCAATGTTATCGCTCTAATGTGTTCAATTCTTGCCAGAATTTTATGAAACTTATATGATAGGTTTATAGCAGCAATGTCTTTGACAATTTCGAAAATAAGTGCTGATCAATAATTTTTAATGAGTTATGGCCCTTGGAAATATAAATTATAATGGAAATCCTTTATTTTAAGATTTAAGCAAAAAGACATGATCTAGGCATTATTTTAGGCACCAACAATTTTATTGTAAGAAATGGACAAAGTGAAATAACACTTTATATATTTCATTTGCTTCCATGCTCAGTTATAAAAGGCTACTAACTCACTATTTCCCCGAGTAAAATGATAAAACATGACTAACAACAATTTGTTTACATGAAACAAAAATACTTGTTTTGCAGGAATTACAGAGTGCAGTAGAAAAGGATATATTGGTCCTCCAGTCACTGTCACAAGAATTACATATCATTAAATCTATTCTACAGTATATTGCTGATAAGTAAGTCACATCATTAAACCACCTAATAAAGAGTTGATCAATTGGAACTTTAAGTCATTATGCTTGTTACAATTCTGTTTATTATGCTTATACAGAATTTTTTATTTTTTGAAATTTAAATTGTGAAGTTAGCTGATTTTCAGGCAAATTTGTGTAACATTCCCTAAAATAAAAAGTGTCATTTTGTAAATGGTGCTTGTTAATATTCTATTGAAAAAAACTTGAAAGAACCATGAAACACTGTTAATTGTTTAAACTTTTGATATTTAATCTTTCTCTTTAGAAAATCTCCAATAGAAGATAGGCCTATTATAAAAAGAAAATTCTCACCATCAAGTGTCTTAGTAACAAAGAAAAGTTCATCAGTGGACCAATCAACTTTACCTAATCTGAGGCAGCCAATCAAACCAGATGATGAAAGTAAGTTTACATTTCAATACATGGTTGTTTTTTTTTTGTTTCTTGCCTTTTTTATTACATTAATAAGTGGTATGTTAATGGATAAACTATTGGTTGGGAGTTAATGTTAATTGCTATGTTCATGCATTTTACACATGTCTTAATACTAGCTAAAAAATACACCAAATGGTGTTGTCGAATCTTTTAATTTAAAAAAAAAAAGGTTTTGTTTTTGTCTGTACATCACATAAAAGTGCGTTTTTTTTTATTGAAAATTAAAGACTTTTATGTAACACTACTGTCTAATCAATAATATTTGATATGTTTATGCTCCTGTAACCCCATCACTTATTACTATACATTATATATGTGGTCTCATTAGTTATGGTATTGCATGATAGTGAAAGCATTAATATTATACACTTAACCTAATGGGAAAACAATAAAGTTGTTCCAAATATAGTCATTCTAGTGTATACAATTATTTATAATGGTATAAAGAAAATTGAAAATCACCAATTCTCTCATGTAGGAAGTTTCTATATTGTCCTGTGTGAAATTTAAATATTTTTAAGTTTTATGTGATCAAAAATAATTTGGCACTGCAAAAAAATATTCCTGGTTTTTACAACCTTTAATTTGGTAAATCATTTGTCTATGTTACTTCATCTTCGCTAGCCAAGGGTTACGATCCACTTCCCTCCTCTCCACCCTTGGCAGATTAAGCCAACATTTGTGAGAACAATGTTGCGCCATCTATCGTTAGATTAAAGTCACGCCCATTCCGAATACATTATTCTTGACCAATGGTAGCACGTGAACTCTTCAATTTGGAGGTAAAAACACGGTAGCGTCTAGATTCTACACACTTGGTAAAGCAGGAAACGAAAATATACTTTGCCATTCATGCATTTGTGCAAGAAACATACACAGGAACTTCTATTAGTTGATTAAAAACATTCAAATTGTCACTAAATATAGTCGTATGTTTAGGGATGTAAAGACTTGTTGCACAATAAGCACATGGCAATTGTTTACATACACTTTCTACATTTACATGTGATCTTGTTATAGGCGCTTTTTGATTGGATGCAGCGAGTTTCGACTGCAACCAATGAAAATCATTACCTTGTGTCTCCGAAATTCTATCTCAATCTGCCAAGGGTTAGAGGAGGGAAGTGGATTGTAACCCTTGGCTAGCAAAGAAGATGTTACTTAGTTACAAATGTAAATATTATAGCACTCCCAAATACAAATACAACTTATCCAACTTTTTTTGTAACCCATTTTTTTTTTCTCAGATATTTTCAAAGTTTATTGTGCAGACCACACATACAGTACATTACGTGATACGATGGACTGTTCTGTACAGCAGATTGTTGAGCAGGCCAGAGACAAACTGTGCCTTGGTGAGGACCTTGTATTATGTGAGGTCAAATCATCTGGTGGTAAGTTTACACATAATTTAATAGATATATTACGGAAGGCTTTCGGCAATCTATTGATCTTGAAAGGTGGTAAATTTTTCAGCAGACGACTTTACCCATTACAGATCAAAAGAAAACCATTTGGTGACAGAATTTATACGCTCTAAGAATTACGTAATCGGTTAAGAGATAAGTTATGCCTTTCAGATGACAATATTTACAAGTTATAAGATGTGGATCACATGAACAAATCACAGATTTGTAATTAGATACAATTACATTTGTAATACTTTAGTTCAAGGAAACAGATTTAAGAGTCAGTATGCATTCCCTCTCTTTCTATGAATTAAAAGAACTATGCCATATTCTGGCAAGGTCATTTCAGAGAGTGCAGTACCCATCCTTTATTTCATGCTCCATGTGCTTTATCCATTTAATCTTGATGCTGACCTTTTTTCAATAATAATATTTATGATTATTGAGTGTCATAATACATAAAAAAAATTTACAGAAAATATACCACTTTTGGTCTTTTCTTCTGGTTTGGCAGTAAAGGGAAAGATGTTAAGTAAATTAATTTGTACAGTTATGTAGTAACACTAGACAGCTGGGGTGTAAAGGTATATTGATTGTAGTATATTTACTTAAACAGCAAGAAGCATGCTTTATTTTTAAGATAGAATTATTCCCTTTGTCTCAATTTTTTTCAGTAATATGTAAAAATTAAATTATCCAAACACTTAAAAGGAATGAATTGAATGAAGGGATGTTTAGAAATGTTCCTTCTACAAATTTTAATTTTCTGAATACTTACCAAAACAATCAAATGAATATTGTTTTTGATATCTTCACAATTTGCAAAATACTTATGCCCTTTTTTAAATTTACTTCTGCTCTTTATGTGCTTGGAGGAATAATTTCTGACCCTTTTCAAATTTGGGTATAACACTAATATAATAGACTCTCAAAAAATGTATATATAAGATTGTTCTTTTTATTTACAGAACGAGTTGTTTTTAAGAAACAGGATATATGTGTGACCACACGACTCACTATTAATGGATATTTATTTATATCACCCAGAGAACATCTTGATGCTTTGGTGAGTATTTAAACCCCCCAATACATGTTATATCACAATTCACTATTAACTAATAAATCAAACTGATTCACTGATATTTTTTGCGGTCATATATTGGTATGATGTTGGCGTCGTTGGAAGACACATTGGTTTTCGCACTCTAACTTTAGTTTAAGTGAATGGATCTCTATGAAATTTTACCATAAGGTTCAATACCACAAAAGGAAGGTTGGGATTGATTTTTGGGGTTATGGTACTAACAGTTAAGGAATTAGGGGCTAAAAAGGGGCCAAAAATAAGCATTTTTGTAAATTCCAGACATAACTTGTGTGTTAGTGTATGGATCTCTCTGACATTGTACCACAAGGTTCCATACCACAAAGGGAATGCTGGGATTGATTTTGGGGGTAATTGCCTCCAAATTTTAGGAATTAGGGGCAAAAAACCAGCATTTTTCTAGTTTCATGACAATAACGTGTGTTAGTGTATGGATCTTTATGAAATTTTACTACAAGGTTCCATATCACAAAGGGAAAGCTGGAATTGAGTTTGGGGGTAATTGCCCAAAACTTTTAGAAATAAGGGGCCAAAAGGGACAAAAAAATAAGCATTTTTCTAGTTTCCAGACAATAACTTGTGTTCAAGTGTATGGATCTCTCTGAAATTGTACTGCAAGGTACCATACCACAAAGGGAAGGCTGGAATTGATTTTGGGGGTAATTGCCTCAAAATTTTAGGAATTAGGGGCCAAAAAGGGGCAAAAAAACAAGCATTTTCTAGTTTCAGGACAATAACTTGTGTGTAAGTGTATGGATCTTTATGAAAATGTACTACAAGGTTCCATATCACAAAGGGAAAGCTGGGTTTGAGTTTGGGGGTAATTGCCCTAAACGTTTAGGAATTTGGGGCCTAAAAGGGGCCAAAAAACAAGCATTTTTCTAGTTTCCAGACAATAACTTGTGTTCAAGTGTATGGACCTCTCTGAAATTGTACTGCAAGGTACCATACCACAAAAGGAAGGCTGGGATTGAGTTTGGGGTGATGAATCATAAGGGGGTTCAAAAAATTGGGGCGGGGGGGGGGATTTTTTTTCTTTTTTTTTCTTTAAAATTTTCCATTTTAAATTGGTTATTTCTGATTTATATATAAAAGCAAATAATAATTATATGGTTTGAATAGGTAAATTAAATTTTTAAGTTCTTAGACCACATTCATTCTGTGACAGAAACCTATGCTGTGTCAAATATTTAATCACAATCCAAATTCAGTGCTGTATCAAGCTTGAATGTTGTGTCCGTACTTGTCCCAACTGTTCAGGGTTCGACCTCTGCGGTCGTATCAAGCTGCACCCAGCAGAGCATTTTGTTTTAAATAGTTCTGACATTTAGTGTTCATGTTCATTACAGAAAATGGCCATAACATCATATACATATTACAAGTGCTGGCTCTGAAATATTGTGTATTGAAACTGCCATTTTTGTAAGAAAACTATTTTACATCAATATTTGCATGCAGGTTATTAGGGGGGTTATAATTGACAATATAGAGAATAGTGATATGAATACTTCATGTTATTACTAAAATAAGTATGAGTAGATATGGGTTAAACACACAGGATATAACATTTATATAAGACAATTAAACACAATTAAACATTTAGGTCATTTGAAGTGGTCTTCACTTCAAGAACAGATCTCCAACAGAAAATAAGAGAAAAATTGATAGAATGGTGACAAAATAAAATAAACTATATATATTAAAATAACCAAAAATTTCAGCAATAGTTATCATATGTATATCACATTTATCCTAATAATAAAATGACAAAATAAAACCATTTCCTTAAATATTTACATATGGGCTTGATGTACAGTAGAATACTGTAAATTCAGAAATTATCGCGAGGTTTTTATTAATGCGAATAATGCGACTACTTGAGTATCGCAATAATAAGAACTCGCATTCTGATATCAAATACATATATCTGTATGTAGCTTTTCCTAAAATTGCAATAATTAAACTCGCATTTTTGTTAATTCTTCAAAAATAGCAAAAATAAATACATGCAATAATTTCTGAATTTACAGTATGGTGAAGTTATATATAGTGTTTGAGATCACAACACTCTAAATTGTCATTTAGTTTTGTGAAAATTCTTTATAAAAGGTCTGAAATGTCTTGCTTTTCTTTGTAGACCCCATTACCAGAACAAGAAGGACCAACACATGGTACAGCAAACACAATAGAACTGATGAGTACAAAAGAAATAGCATATCACATGACTTTATATGACTGGGAATTGTTCTCTTGTCTACAAGAGGTAAGTGTTCTTATTACCTGTCACATGACCCTATACCACACGATTAACTTGATTTGGAATTGTTCTTTCATATACAGCCACATGACTTGGAGCCTGGGATATCATATGGCATGACTTTATAAGGCTGGGATGTGTAATATTGTGTTAGTCACTTGGTTATGTTAGAATATCAAATGTAGATAAAATATCAATGAAACAGCAACCCATCAATGCAAGTTTGCTAAATATAGACATCTATAGTGGTCACAATAAAGTTCACTGATGGACAACCTCCAACAAGCAGCATAAACTACAAATTGTTGTTAGTTCAGACCATATATGAATGGGAATGAGCATTGTCTCTTTCAAAATGACTTTCAAGACAATTATAGACAACAAATTAAAATATTGTAAGAATGTTGTAAATGAGCATTATTTAGTATATTTTTTATCATATACCAGTTTACAAACATTACCAACTGTGGATATCTTGGAAAATAATTTGAAATAATTTATATCCTTAATAGTATTTCATATATGCCCAAAATAACAAGCACATGTATCCCATATCCTAATAATAAAATGACCTTATGTACCATATCCTTAAACCTCTTAAAAGGGGCACAAATATGGTAGTCTTGTAAATGTCCTTTATTTTCAATTGTGTATGAATTGTAAATGTATTTTCAATAAGTAAAAGTTATCAGTAATACCAATCACTTTACAGAGCATTGAATAAGAATTGATGTAGGTGTCTTTAGCCTGTAGCCTTATGGCTTTATGAAACCAATAATTCCTTTGTGTAAAGTATTATGTCATTTATTGTGTTAAAATTGTAACTTTAAAGGTATTTTGGATACAATAAATGATGCCTCAAATTACGTTCACTGTAAGCTGAAGAAGTCAGTTGAAACCACAATAAGTCATCGTGTGCTTTCATCAATTGACTATTTTGTTACAAATGATAAAATTAAAAGTGTCCTTATATGAGGAATTGATATAGCTTTGAAATATTATAATCTTCTAAGAAAATATTCTTTGATGTGTTCCAATATCTTTTAGGGAAAAGTTATTTTCATTTGACATTTATTGGTTACTTCAATTTAAACTGATAAAAGAGAGCACTAGATGACTTGGTTATGTATTTGAATTTAATAAGTTGCCTTTTTATGTAAACAGAATTTACAAATAATGGCTTTTAAAAGATTTTCTTTTCTATGTTTTTTAATTGGACCTTAATTTGAAAGTTTCATATGGGTTTATAATTATGGGACCTTCAAAAAATCAATATAGGTTTATAATTATTTCTTTATCATTAATATTATTATCTTTTTTCATTATTTTGTTGATACATGACTGATATTAATATTTATAGATGTATGTACATTTTTTATTTCAGTATGAATTGATTTACAAAGTATTTGGAGCTCATCAGTTTAAAAAGATCACAGCAAACTTAGAGTCATTCTTAAGAAGATTCAATGAAGTACAGTATTGGATAGTGACAGAAATGTTACTTACATTGAATGTCAGTAAAAGAGTACAACTTCTAAGGAAATTCATCAAATTAGCAGCTCAGTAAGTTCTTAGGCCAAGATAAAAATTTGCTATGCTTTTAGTGACAAAAATGAAGATGAGTGTGGTTTTTTTTTAAGTTCATTTTTCCCTTTTTTTATAAATACTTTAATTCTATCAATTTGAAGTTAATCTCTCTGAACCTATTTTCATTACTAAAGATGATCTTGGAAAGGATTTTTGATTCTGTAAATGACATAATTCTTAGGAAAAATTGAATTGATGTTTTTTCATCATATATTTTGTGGTAGTGCAGATATGTAATGGCAGAAAATGCAACAGACAAAAAAGAATCTTATTCTGATATGTTAGAAATTGCCCAAATTAAGTATGTTTTGAAAGCTACTGCATTTGTGCTAGTCATGTGCATATATTCTTATTCTATTTATTTTATATTTCAGTTGTAAGCAGTATCAGAATTTGAATTCCTTCTTTGCTATAGTGATGGGTTTAAGTAATATTGCTGTCAGTCGTCTTTCACAAACTTGGGAGGTAGGTCACAATCTGTTGCTATAGTGATGGGTTTAAGTAATATTGCTGTCAGTCGTCTTTCACAAACTTGGGAGGTAGGTCACAATCTGTTGCTATAGTGATGGGTTTAAGTAATATTGCTGTCAGTCGTCTTTCACAAACTTGGGAGGTAGGTCACAATCTGTTGCTATAGTGATGGGTTTAAGTAATATTGCTGTCAGTCGTCTTTCACAAACTTGGGAGGTAGGTCACAATCTGTTGCTATAGTGATGGGTTTAAGTAATATTGCTGTCAGTCGTCTTTCACAAACTTGGGAGGTAGGTCACAATCTGTTGCTATAGTGATGGTTTTAAGTAATATTGCTGTCAGTCGTCTTTCAATAACTTGGGAGGTAGGTCACAATCAGTTGCTATAGTGATGGGTTTAAGTAATATTGCTGTCCGTCATCTTTCAATAACTTGGGAGGTAGGTCACAATCTGTTGCTATAGTGATGGGTTTAAGTAATATTGCTGTCAGTCGTCTTTCACAAACTTGGGAGGTAGGTCACAATCTGTTGCTATAGTGATGGGTTTAAGTAATATTGCTGTCAGTCGTCTTTCAATAACTTGGGAGGTAGGTCACAATCAGTTGCTATAGTGATGGGTTTAAGTAATATTGCTGTCCGTCATCTTTCAATAACTTGGGAGGTAGGTCACAATCAGTTGCTATAGTGATGGGTTTAAGTAATATCGCTGTCAGTCATCTTTCAATAACTTGGGAAGTAGGTCACAATCAGTTGCTATAGTGATGGGTTTAAGTAATATTGCTGTCAGTCATCTTTCAATAACTTGGGAGGTAGGACACAATCTGTTGCTAATAGTGATGGGTTTAAGTAATATTGCTGTCAGTCATCTTTCAATAACTTGGGAGGTAGGTCACAATCAGTTGCTATAGTGATGGGTTTAAGTAATATTGCTGTCAGTCATCTTTCAATAACTTGGGAGGTAGGACACAATCTGTTGCTAATAGTGATGGGTTTAAGTAATATTGCTGTCAGTCATCTTTCAATAACTTGGGAGGTAGGTCACAATCAGTTGCTATAGTGATGGGTTTAAGTAATATTGCTGTCAGTCATCTTTCAATAACTTGGGAGGTAGGTCACAATCAGTTGCTATAGTGATGGGTTTAAGTAATATTGCTGTCAGTTGTCTTTCACAAACTTGGGAGGTAGGTCACAATCAGTTGCTTAAGTGATGGGTTTAAGTAATATTGCTGTCAGTCGTCTTTCAATAACTTGGGAGGTAGGTCACAATCTGTTGCTATAGTGATGGGTTTAAGTAATATTGCTGTCAGTCATCGTTCAATAACTTGGGAGGTAGGTCACACTCAGTTGCTATAGTGATGGGTTTAAGTAATATTGCTGTCAGTCATCTTTCAATAACTTGGGAGGTAGGTCACAATCAGTTGCTATAGTGATGGGTTTAAGTAATATTGCTGTTAGTCATCTTTCAATAACTTGGGAGGTAGGTCACAATCAGTTGCTATAGTGATGGGTTTAAGTAATATTGCTGTCAGTTGTCTTTCACAAACTTGGGAGGTAGGTCACAATCTGTTGCTATAGTGATGGGTTTAAGTAATATTGCTGTCAGTCATCTTTCAATAACTTGGGAGGTAGGTCACAATCAGTTGCTATAGTGATGGGTTTAAGTAATATTGCTGTCAGTTGTCTTTCACAAACTTGGGAGGTAGGTCACAATCTGTTGCTATAGTGATGGGTTTAAGTAATATTGCTGTCAGTCGTCTTTCAATAACTTGGGAGGTAGGTCACAATCAGTTGCTATAGTGATGGGTTTAAGTAATATTGCTGTCAGTTGTCCTTCACAAACTTGGGAGGCAGGTCACAATCTGTTGCTATAGTGATGGGTTTAAGTAATATTGCTGTCAGTCGTCTTTCAATAACTTGGGAGGTAGGTCACAATCAGTTGCTATAGTGATGGGTTTAAGTAATATTGCTGTCAGTTGTCCTTCACAAACTTGGGAGGTAGGTCACAATCAGTTGTTATAGTGATGGGTTTAAGTAATATTGCTGTCAGTTGTCTTTCACAAACTTGGGAGGTAGGTCACAATCAGTTGCTTTAGTGATGGGTTTAAGTAATATTGCTGTCAGTCGTCTTTCAATAACTTGGGAGGTAGGTCACAATCTGTTGCTATAGTGATGGGTTTAAGTAATATTGCTGTCAGTTGTCTTTCAATAACTTGGGAGGTAGGTCACAATCTGTTGCTATAGTGATGGGTTTAAGTAATATTGCTGTCAGTCATCTTTCAATAACTTGGGAGGTAGGTCACAATCAGTTGCTATAGTGATGGGTTTAAGTAATATTGCTGTCAGTTGTCTTTCACAAACTTGGGAGGTAGGTCACAATCAGTTGCTTTAGTGATGGGTTTAAGTAATATTGCTGTCAGTCATCTTTCAATAACTTGGGAGGTAGGTCACAATCAGTTGCTATAGTGATGGGTTTAAGTAATATTGCTGTCAGTCATCTTTCAATAACTTGGGAGGTAGGTCACAATCAGTTGCTATAGTGATGGGTTTAAGTAATATTGCTGTCAGTTGTCTTTCACAAACTTGGGAGGTAGGTCACAATCTGTTGCTATAGTGATGGGTTTAAGTAATATTGCTGTCAGTCGTCTTTCAATAACTTGGGAGGTAGGTCACAATCAGTTGCTATAGTGATGGGTTTAAGTAATATTGCTGTCAGTTGTCCTTCACAAACTTGGGAGGTAGGTCACAATCTGTTGCTATAGTGATGGGTTTAAGTAATATTGCTGTCAGTCGTCTTTCAATAACTTGGGAGGTAGGTCACAATCAGTTGCTATAGTGATGGGTTTAAGTAATATTGCTGTCAGTCGTCTTTCACAAACTTGGGAGGTAGGTCACAATCTGTTGCTATAGTGATGGGTTTAAGTAATATTGCTGTCAGTCGTCTTTCACAAACTTGGGAGGTAGGTCACAATCTGTTGCTATAGTGATGGGTTTAAGTAATATTGCTGTCAGTCGTCTTTCAATAACTTGGGAGGTAGGTCACAATCTGTTGCTATAGTGATGGGTTTAAGTAATATTGCTGTCAGTTGTCTTTCAATAACTTGGGAGGTAGGTCACAATCTGTTGCTATAGTGATGGGTTTAAGTAATATTGCTGTCAGTCATCTTTCAATAACTTGGGAGGTAGGTCACAGTCAGTTTCTATAGGAATGGGTTTAAGTAATATTGCTGTCAGTTGTCTTTCACAAACTTGGGAGGTAGGTCACAATCAGTTGCTATAGTGATGGGTTTAAGTAATATTGCTGTCAGTCGTCTTTCAATAACTTGGGAGGTAGGTCACAGTCAGTTTCTATAGTGATGGGTTTAAGTAATATTGCTGTCAGTTGTCTTTCACAAACTTGGGAGGTATGTTATCATCAGCTTCATGGAAGTATAAACAATGGAGGATCAATGAAACAGCAACCCAAAAACACTAGAAAAATCCCATTAGACCTTAGTTTGCAGTTATTGAAACATATTTCATAAATGTATCAGATAACTCATGAAATTTTTTTTGAAAAATTCATGGCATGGAAGGCCATATTGCAAACCAGGTATTTTTGGGAGAGGAGGAATGGTCCATAAGTTGCCATTTGTCCCTTAGTGATATGAATTAATATACCCCACTCTAGGAGAGGGGGTTATATTACATTCACCTCGTTCAACTAATATTTTGATCCCACTTTTCTCAACTTATATTGAATGGAAGGACTTCATATTTGGTCAACAGCTAGACAGTGTTTACTTATACTGTATATTTTGATATATGTTTTTTATTGTTGTTGTCTTTGGAATTCGGTGTTGTTAGCAGGTCTTTTGTAGTATTTGTTCAATTTATTCTAATCTTGGCTAAACTTCGGTTGATTTAAGTGATATTTGAATGTAAATTTTGTTTCATACCTATTATATAATAACAAAATTTTAAAAAGTTGTTTTAAAAAGCAATTTTAATATGTTTTAATTACATTTGCTGTATTAGTATCTATCTATTTAGAAGATCCTGATAAAAACTTATGGCAATGGGAGACAATTCCTCTTGTGATTATATAGATACTGGTACATTGAAAACAAGTATATTTAGAATTTATTAAACTGCTTAATATTTACAGAAACTGCCTAGCAAGTTCAAGAAAATGTTTGCCGATTTTGAAACTTTGATGGATCCATCGAGAAATCATCGAGTGTACAGACTTACTGTTGCCAAACTCTCTGCTCCAATCATTCCATTTATGCCTTTATTAATGAAAGGTAAGGAAAACTAGGATTCTGTTCTATTGTCATTTTATGAGGGGAAAAAACGAAGTTCTCATTATAACTAGTTAAAACAGGAAACAAATTTAACTCTGATCATTTTTATAACCAAAATCTTACAATATTTTATCCATTTATTTACAACATGTCAGTTCAGTTTAAATGTATGCAAGGGCCAATTAAATAATTGGTAGGCATTTGAAATCAAAAGTCTAAACAGCTTGTTTCAGGTGCCTTGGCTATAGATTACCCTGGTCCCACCTGATAGATTTTGATAGTTATAACATCTGTGTGATATTTGAACTCTTTGATAAGATTATAATAGGAGTAACAGTTGCAATAACTTTTATTAACAGATAAGTATTTATACTGTGGGCTTATAAATATCTTTTTATGAAGCGCTGTCATATAACTATTTTTGTTTTACTTATTTCAGATTTAACCTTCACGCATGAAGGAAATAAAACATATTTTGATGGTTTGGTGAACTTTGAAAAAATGGTATGTATACTCTAACATAATTTTGTTTATTGCTGTCTCGTGACTATTTAATTGTCAGTAAAACCTTAATTCTTTGATATTAAATTTTTTTATCAATACATAGATATTGGGTGAAGTCTTTTTGTAGTTCGTTGTGAAAGACTTTCAATATTGTTGAATAATTTTAACCTGATTCCAGTAATTCTTTATTATTTTGTCCTAATATTTAAATAATATTTTAAAACATCGTCAGATAAAACTTATGTTTTCAATGAAATCTTATTACCTTTGTTTTGTTTTTTAGCACATGATTGCTCAAACAATGAGAACAGTGAATTTTTGTAGAAGTCATCCATTAGGTAAGTATTGTAATTAGAAACATTATCCAAGGTCTAACACAACCATTACCATTCAAAATTTCTACAGACTGCTTTGCACAATGAATGATAACTCAGCTGAAATGTTTTGGAACTGAACAAAAAATGCATTTCTGTAAATTGGGAATTATCTCCCCTTAAAAACCAAAATGTTACATCTATATTCATCAATAATGTATTTCCTAAATACTTTTTTTCAGAAATTGAAGCACCTTCTACAGCAAAATCATCGACAGAAGTTGAAGAATATATCAGGTATATTTTTTCAAGGATTTTCATGTTTTGATATATTAGTAAAAATGTTTTTTAATGATCAGCTAATGAAGATCAACAAACATGTTTCTTGTGTTTTCGGCTATAATGCTGAGAACTTAAGTAGATTGAGAGAAACTGTGTACAACAAAAATGATTAGCAAGACAAGATCTACAAAAAAAATGAAGGAATGGAAACAGTGAATTGACTCCTTATTGGGTTATTGTCCTTCTTGGACTGAACAATTTTTTTTTAAACCTGATCACAATCTTATATACGGTAGGGTAAGATGTCTGCCACTGTTGCTTATGATATGAATGATGCCATATTTGAGATTCAGGCTCATGGGAACCTCTAGATAAATCATATACAATATTTTCATTTAATGAATATTCTATTATTCTACCAATAATTTATTTTTGAAAAAATCCCATGCATTGTTAAGAAAGCTTTAGAAGTGATGATATCTCTTGCTCTATTGTTGATGCATTATGATTTAACAATATTGTACAGAATACATTGCAATGTAGGCTCTTAAATATGTACAGTTATGATGTATTTATTCTTTAAATAACTTATCTTATGTGTACTACTTCACTTTTTCTCTTTCAGTTTTGTATGCTTATCGAAGTTGTTATTCTTCCATCTAAAAAACATATTTGACTTTTTTCAGGAACTTGAAAGTGATAGACAATCAGAGACTTTTAACAAAACATTCATACAAGTTGGAGCCCAGACGGACATGACGAAACTTGATTTTGATTAAACTAACGGTGCCAAACGATTTTCTATAATACATGCAATACTGCAGGTGTATTTGATTGACATCTAGCATTTGTCTTTGACAATCCTGGTGATTTTATTAGTGAGAATAGTGTCAGCACTGAAGAAGCCCTGGTTTGATACACGTGTAGTGTTATTTTCTTTACTAATAAAAAGGAGATGGAACCAGAGTTATAAAATCATATGGATGAATTGTAATTTTATGTGATACTTAGTCTAAGGAAATGTTGACATGCGGAAATCATATATTCTTTAAGATCATAACTGCACATATATCTAAATATTAAAAGGTTCTAGATGCATTTTAGTATATGTTCTTCCAAAGTGCAGAGAAGAAAATTTTTTAACTTTATTTGTATGTGCTACTTACATTATATCTGAAACAGTTTATGTTGCTGTTTAATAATTTCTGATAAGGGGCATGTTCCCATATATTGACAGTAAATATTTCAAGGAACCTTACTTTTGCATCAATGGAAAAAAAATCTGCGATATATTTGTTTATCTTTTAATAAAAGTATAATTGACTTCCACTACTTTGGATGAACAAATATTATAATTTTTTTTAATACAACTGAAAATTCTCTTAAAAAATATAGATCAACACTTCAGTTTCTGTCATGGAGCCATTGAAAATTTGTTTTCATGTAGAAAGGTGATAAACTCTTTAAGATTTAAACAAAAAACTTGTCCAAAATTGAATTTCCAATCAAAAAAGAATTAGAAAATCAAAAAAGGTGTGACTTGAAAGGTTGCAACAGATATCATTCTGCTTTTAGTGATTTTGGTTTCTTACATGATTAACACACTTGTATTTAATTAAAAACAAATACTATTCATAAACTCAATTTTTTCAAAATATGCTTCCAATATCACATACATTCATATATAACCACATGGAAATTTCATGTATTTCATCCTATCTTATTTATATAATACAGAATGATTGAATTGCATAATTGATTTGTCAAAAAGAAAATTACTCCTAATTTTGTTTGGATGAGTTGTTAGTTATGTAAATCCATTGACCCACTGTTACATGTGTAGTCTTTGTGATTTAATTAGAATTTAAGTAAAAAGGATATCATCTAATAAAGAAAGATAATTCAATTTTTTCAAATCAATGGACTTAGTTGTAATTTATACAGCAGCACTGTCTGTTTCGCTGGTGTGTATAGGACTTTCTGAAAACTCACCTCGGAAGGTCCAACTCTGATTTTAAAATTGCAATTGAAAATGAATTTATATTTCCATTGTTGGGAAGTATACTGGTATAAGCACAGGTTTGCTGCAGTGCAGAGCAATGATGAGACTTAACTTAGAAAACAATGTGTTACTTTAATATACAAACATTTCCAGCTTTTTTTTAAAGTACAAGTATAGTGGAAGACAAAAGACAATAACTTTTTTATCTATATAAACCAAATATTATTTTTAAATCATTAAAAACCGCTATTCATTGACTCTTCGTTGAGCTACATTTGCCGTGAAGCAGTTCCACTTGCCCACAAAGGAAATAACCTACTTCAAATTATACTTTTAGAGTAAAATTCACGACTCCCGAAATGAGTTTCTGGAAAGACCTATAATAGTATTATAAGATACAAATATTTATAACACATAGAGATATATATATGATACATTTTTTTTAACCAGAAAAATTACAATTGTATTCAAAATTGCATAAACATTTTGATAAAGTCTGTAACACAACTGTTATTTTAATCGAATAAAGTTTACAGTGCCTTATGATATTGATCAAAAGTAATCATTTAATCCATCAGCATTATTTCATAATAAAACTTATGTAATGATGCATGGGAGAAGGTATGCTAAGGCCACTAATTTACACTGTGAAACAAGAATCACAACCTACCTTTATGTTTGTCTCAGTTATTATGTAATAGAAATTTGCCTGACATATTTTTTTAAACCTTCTACTTGCATTTAGGAAAAAATGGCCACAGCCTAAACCAAAATGGATTTTGGCCAAAAGATGTCTTATTCAATGTTTTGTGTGTGTGAGTGAATTATCATTTTGTGTAAGGCTGTTGCTCATATTTATTGTTAATTAAAGAACATTTTTTTTGTTAAATGTGACTATTATATTATATGTATTACATCCCAAAGATAGAACAAATACAATATCTACTCTAAAGTATCCATATTACATGTATATCATTGGAAGAATTTTATTATGTTTGCCATTTCAGGAGCCAGTTAATTAATAATTTGAATATTTATATTATTTTGTTTCGTCTGAAAAGTCCATCAGTGATGACAAAAAGATATATATTATAAAGAATGGCTAATTTTCCATTGTGTATTGAACAGTGCATTTGTCAGTGATTATTCAGCCTCAAAATTATACCTAGGCTGCAATTCTTTATGCCAATGGGTTTAGGCATGTAACACCAATTTTGAATAGATGCTGTCTTCCATAAGTTCCATGGTCGACAGTCGGAGTCATTGGCAACAACATTGTGCAATCACAGTCGACATTTACAGGATATTTGAAATTAATTTTGAAGAGTATTGCATTAATAGGAATAACAGTACTGTATTTCAAGAGTTGCTGCCGTCAATTTTGGATTATATTTAATATAGTACTGTTATTCCTTACCTGTATGATGGAGGATTTAGATTATATTCCTTACAGTTGTTACATTTTCCAAAGTGTATATCCTAAACTGTTGAGTGTATTTTCAAAGGACATAGAGCAATGGCATATGTCCTCTGAGACAAACCAGTTTTATATATTAATTCATAATCACAAGGTAAAATGAGGGAGTACAGTAAGATTGTTATTTGATTTAAAGTCTTTTGTGTTCTTTAGTGTAATCTTATAACACAATGGGTCAATATATTATGGTGCATTTATTCATGTCCATCTGCTAAATTAAGAAAGCAACCCCTCCTCTATAACTCTAGTATCTGTTTGTTTTCTTTATTAGGGATAGGGATTTGTGATTTGTGTATTTTCTTTATTAGGGATAAGGGTTTGTGATTTGTGTATTTTCTTAATTAGGGATGTGTATTTTCTTTATTAGGGATTTGTATTATTTTTGTGATTGTTTGATTTATGTTAGATATAATGAAAGTCATGAGGATGATTACTGGATAAATGGGAATTAGTGATAGACAAAATATGCAATGTTGAGAATTTTTCCTTTTTGCCAGAGTAATGGGACTTGATTATAGAGTATTAGTCAGAATTACACAGAGCAAGCAAGTTTCAGGAAAGTTTTACTAATTGAAGAAATTTTTTTTAGCTCATAATCACTTTTTGTCGAGCCTGCGACATTTATATCACGAAAGCGAGACATAGCGATCCTAGATTCCGTTAGTGGCGGCAACATTTAGGTTCAGTCTGTGGTTAAAGTGTTTTTTAGACATCAATAACTTTGTCAAACCTTCATGGAATTTTATGAAATTTGGACAGAAGCTTGCTTATGACCAAAATACAGTATCCAGAACAAAATTTTTATTTTTTCGTATTTAACTGATAAATGGACTTCGTTTTTTTACAGTTAACAAGTAGATACAGTCTGGGGTTAAAGTTTGTTACACATCAATTACTTTGTCAAACCTTCATAGAGTCGTGGCAGAAGCTTTTAAATGATTTTAAAAGAGAAAGATATAATGTCAGAAGCAAACCTTTGAAAATATATTTTTTTTTAATTTTTTTTTTAGTATTTTTGTGATAGATGGACTTCGTTTTTACAGTTAACATTTACAGTCTGGGATTAAATTTTTATAAAATTGGTAAACCTTCATGGATTGTTATGAAACTTGAACAGAAGCTAATCTTCAAGACCAAATAGCATTTAAAGAAAAAGTTTGAATTTTATTTTTAATTCTGTATTTTACTGATAAATGGACTCACTTTTTAAGTCAACATTACACTTTTACACTGACAGCGGCAATTGCAGGGGAGACACAGGGTTCCACGGAACCCATTACGATTTTTTTTATTAAAACTGCTTAGATGAGTGCTAGGTATTGGGTGAACAATGGTAGGGATGATTTGGGTATAAAACAACGAAGTCCATATACTAGTAATGATTTGAATCTGTAAAAAAATAATATTAATATGTTTATTAGCTAACATTCTTTATGGCAGATTATTAAAGTATAGTTCATAAATTAAAATAAGGCAGGATAATATACATGGAAAAAGCAATTTATTTTTACCAGAGTACACTATTTTTGTGTAAATGATGCATTAATAATTGTTTGTTGCATACTGTGTGTTTATTGAGAAAAAAAAATTGAAATTACTTATAACGTTCTTTTTCCTTTTATATTTCTACAAAATATTAAAAACAGGGATTTGTAATCTTTTGTACCACGTGTATACCCTGTTGCTTGATCCTTAGCTTGAGTAGAACTTGAAAAATGGAAAGACTTTTTACTTACCAGTAGGTATGATTTTGAATTATTGGTTTATTCTTTTTATGGGTTCTAGAAATTTTTTTTTTTTCATTGAAGATGACATTTTTACTTTTTTTCTTGTACATCATAATTTTGTTCATAATACCATTTATTGTTAAAAAGGTTGTTAATTGTTTAAATGATCCCTGTTACATATCTCTATTTATTTGTAATAAAACACAATTGTTGATCAAAATAAAGTAATTCGTGTACTGATGTTATTGTGTGTGTATATTTATATAACATAACTTCTCTTTAGGTACCCATAGTTTAATAAAGCTATATAAGGGTGTAGTGGATAGTGTTTACAGCAGTGCATGTCTGATTGTTTGTAAACCGCCTGGATGGATTCATGGTAACATACTCATCTCTAGTGCAAGAGGTTATGGGTTTGATCCCCAGTCAGGTCAAACAAGATTTAAAAGTTGGTATTTGCTGCTTTTCTGTTAAGCACAGAGCATTTAGGAAATAAGATCAAAGACTGGTCAGCACAGAGTCATTTACTGAATGTAATATGTGCAAATGAATCGAAAAATTTATTTATTACATATTAAGATACCAGTATTTTTGGACTAAATGGGAAAAAGATTAAATGGTTAACATTGAAAAGAAAGTTGAAGAGTGTCATTGATTACTTTTGTATGAAAGGAAATCACTTTTTGCAAACATTGCCTCTCATACCCCAATTCCTTAAAAAAAAATTGCACTTTGACAAAAGATATATATTAAAACAAATAATTTTTTTTTACATAAGAAAAATAAGAATTTGACCGACAAGTATTTAATTAAAAGTAAGAAAAAAGTTACTTCCCTTGGATTATAGTTTGTGTTTTGCTTTTAAGCTGACCTAGCCCTTTGGGCCATGTGTACTTTTTCCATCACTTGATGCCAGTTATCTTTATTAAGATATTTAGTAAAGACACTCAGATTGGTAAAAAAAAATCCCAGCTGAGCTCAGACTCCAATAGGGCAAACTTATATTATATAATAAAAATATAATAAAAGTTAGATTTTATCCAGCCTTTGTTATCAACAGCCTTATCAAATTGTTGAGGATATTAAATTTGAAGTCAGGTCTAGTCAGTTTGTCTGACTCTGGTTTTTATAAGGTTAATAATTGTGGTTCTTCATCATAAAGACAACTGAGAGACTTGTAGTGTTGGATGTTCAATAGCTTGAAATAAGCCCATGTTTGTATATATGTTGAGCTATCATTTGGCACCAGTCATTTAATGGTTAAAGAGACAACACTATAAAAGACACTATCACATAAAAGGACCCCCAAAAGTTTAATTAAAGGTCTTTAGGTCATCACAAGCACCAGTCGTAACCAGGATCATATGGAATGTGTTATGGGCGTCACTTGGCATTTGTGGCTCCATTGTGCTTACATGTCCTATGTAGGCCTCAAGTCATCACCTTGCATCTGTTGCTCAATGTCTGTTAGGCTATAATGTTTTCCCCAGGACAAGAGTATAAAAATAAGATATAAATAAGACACTAAAACTGGTAAAAAAATAATCAATTAAGGGCAACAACTCAAAGGTAATGTCTGATAATCCTCATTTTTTACTTATTTGTAGATCATATTTGTCTAATCAATTTTGCTATTTACATAGTTTCTCTCTTTGTCCTATAGGTTTCACCAAAAAATGTGTAGAAATCATTATTGAAGGGAAGTAACTCTAATACTGAGTTGCTTGGTGATTACAATCAAATTGACTTATTTGTACTGTAGATATTTTCTAGCTCATCATGTTTAGCTCATCTGGCTATTCAGCTTTTGCCATCATTCGGCATCTGTCATCCGTTCGTTTATTATAATCTTTTATAAAAAAAACAGGGGTAAAATGCAGGTTTTGGGTTATATCTATAAAAATAAAGCACTTAGAGCAAAACTGACATGGGTAAAAATTATCATCAGGTCAAGATCCATCTCCTTTGGAATTTTCAGAAAAAATAGAACAAACCATTTTAGAGTTATTGCCCATAAAATCAATTGTTTGCAAATTTAGAAGTCTTTGGCCATTATCTTGAAAACAATAGCAGACAGAGAGAAATTTTACTAGTAAAAATTACCAGAACAATAAGATCTACAAATAAGCCAGCATTGCCGAAATCGTCAATTAAACCCTTACAGGAGTTTCAAGGAGGGCTTTTACTAATGTTTTGCGATTTTAAGAGAAACTATAATATATAGATTGCAAAAATGTTCAACAAAATAAGATCTACAAATACCTCAATGTGGCAATTGGCCACTTGTAGGCATTATTGCCCTTGAAAGGTGATTTTCACACATTTTTGGCAGAAACCATAATAGATAGAAACTAAATAGCCAAAACAGTTCAGCAAAATAAGACTTACAAATAAGGCAACATAGTGGGAGTGGTCAATTGGAGGACCATTTTTACTCATTTTTTATTAGCAACAATATAAAACAAAAATGTTCAGGAAAATAAGTTCTACAAATAAATAAGCATTATTGGTATCATTGATTGATCCTTTATATTGGTTATTGCCCTTAAACATGATTTTTATCAATTTTTGTGTATTTTGCAGGAACTACAATAGATAGTGAGGAGCAGTAAAATGATAAAATGTTCAGCACAATAAGACCTTCAGATAAGTGTACATGGCTGAAATTGTCAACTGATTAGTTATAGAAGTTTTTTACCCTAATTGATGATTTTCACTCATTTGTTTGCATTTTTTTTTTCAAAAACTATAGTACAAGTAAGTCAACATTGCTACATTGTCAGATTCCTTTTAGGATTTACAGTCCTTAAATGACATTTCTTTTTTTACTTACCGGTATTTCTATAATGTTACCAATTATTTTTGAAACATTTAATAGATAGGTATAAACTGTAAACAGTAAAAATGATCATCAATACAAAATCTACAAAAATACCACTAAATAAGATTAACCAATAAGCAAACATAACTGATTGCACTATAAGTCAAAAATAAATATCAAAATGGCATATTTTACCAGGTGAGTGATTCAGGCTTTTGAGAGTCTTTTGTTGGTGTATACAATTTCTCTAGATCCGTTTAAGTTTTCAAGATCAGTGCCAAAAACACAAAGAAGGGTAAAAGTCGTTATTTGAGGGCAATTACTCCTATAAGAAGTTGATGCATGTACTATCTTGCTGATCATTTTTGCTTTTTGCAGTTTCTCTCTATCTTCTATAGTTTCAAAAAAAAAACATAAAAAAACATAAAGGCAACAATTAACTATAGGGAGTCGATTGACAGTTTTGGTCATGACGACTCATTTGTCGATGTTATTTTGTTGATTAATTCGTTGGAACTGGGACATACGTTAGTATAATAGCCCCAGGTTGGATTTCGCAATTTTCCTTTCTCTACTAGAATTTCTGAAATGGGTAAAAATCGTCATTCAACATCCATAAGGAGTAGACTGACGATTTTGGCCATTATGACTTCGTTGTAGATCATTTTCAATCTACAGTTTCTCAATATCTCATATAGTTTTCATAAAAAAAAACGCCACAAAATGGGTATAATTAAGGTTCGAAGGTATAACTCCTATAACGATAAGAAGTCGACGGATACCGGATTTTAGTAGATCTCGTCTTGCTGATAATTTTTGCTGTTTGAAGTTTTTCTCTCTATTAGATTGTCATTTAAAGCTCTTATAAAGAGTCAAAGGACGATTTCAGTCATTTTTAATGATTTGTTATCTTCCGGTATCTGCTCGTATCCGAAAAAAACCTCGAAAATAAGTTAAAATTGTCATTCACTGAGGGCAAAAATTCCCGACTGGACTGGCAATTTCGCTCATGTTGACCTATTTGTAGATCTTGCCATGGAGATCGGTTTGCTTTGTGCAGTTTCTCTCTATCTAGATCAAAATGTTGGTTCTATATAAAAATAAGAAGATGTGGTATGATTGCTAATGAGACAACTCTCCAGAAGAGACCAAAGTGACACAGAAATTAACAACTATAGGTCACCATACGGCCTTCAACAATGAGCAAAGCCCCCAACATCCCCCTCCCCCCCCCCCCCCCCAACCTGGGACAGTGATGGGTTAACAGTACAACATACATAAGAACAAACTATCAGTTGAAAAAGGCTCAACTCGTCAGATGGATACAAATAGAAATACATCTAACAAAAACACAGACGTGGCAGGGTACTTATACATCCCCACAGCAAAAAGACACTAGGTACAGATCTCAGAGTACTCGCAGTTACTGACAGCTAGTTCAAAGCCAATAACAACTAATAAAAAAATATTTCAAGATAATAGCCAATATCGCAAAAAAGAAAACGGTAACAATGAACATTTACCCGCAATAATTTCTATATCTATAACAATTTTCAAGATAATAGATAATACTTGAATTTCCCCCCTAGTGTTCTTTTTCTAGCCTTTGTGGCCATATTATTTGGCAGGTGGGACCATTGAACACATTTTAAAACTATATACCCCAAGGATGATTGTGGCCAAGTTTGACTCCGATTGGCCCAGTCGTGTCAGAGGAGAAGATTTTTGTGGAATTTAATGGATGATGGACGACAGACGACGGAGCAAAGTGATGAGAATAGCTCACACTGCCGGGCTGGCCCAAGGGGGCCATGTGAGATAAAAATGATATTTAAAAAATGTACATTCAATTACAATAATATGTTTTAATAATATTGTGCATTGATCATAAAGTCTTTCCCCTTGAACTCAAAGCTGAAATAGGAATTAAACTGCTAATTACATTGACATTCAGCTAGAAATCGGCAGTGAGGGCCTATTGAGCACTACCATTCACACAAAAAAAGAGATGGACTTCATAATTTTTAATTCTTTACATGTTTTGTGAAAATTCCAGAAGCGCCTGTATATGAGGGTATGGATGGGGGTCCTTCATTTATGTATTCTTTAATTTTTTCGCTAATTATTCTTTATCTTTAATAAATAATGGCTATTCTGTAATTACTTGATAACTGTATTCTGGACATTGTTCTTTTCTGTAATCAGTATATTTTTACCCAATTCTGTCATTTTTGCGCTTATTCTATATGTTTTTGCCCATTTTTCTCTATACTTTTTTTTTTCCATTTTCTCTATTCTTTTTTTTTTTTTTTTTTGCCCATTATTTTTTATTCTGTAAACCTTATCCACCCTCGTATATAAATTGCATGTCTCCTAGTTGATACAATATTCAAGACATAGGTTTCCTATTTCAGCAGGCT